TTCTCCATAAATCCACCCAGAAACTACGGGAACCATCCCTCCACTTGTTGAATAGGACTGGCCTTGTTCTGGAAAATCCGAATCACGGGTTATTGAGGACGATCGTCGGAAGACCATGCAGTCTTTAAAAGCCCGGCCCTTTGTGCTGCGTCGTTCTCCCTAGGCACAAAATGAGAAAAAACGGGGCCCTAGCTGCCAGCCAGTCCCGGTGTCCGCGCTTCCGCGGATGGAAGAGCGAGACCTGGGTGGCAATGGGTCACGCCGGTTGCCTTTGTGCTTTACTGAGTCACCCCTTGATGTCTGAGCAATTTTTTTAAGCGGAGACTCCAGGAGATGTGTGGTTCTGCCTCCCCCTTTTTGGGGTGCTTTTTGAAACCGGCTCTTGAACATACTGGGCTTGTTCGATTTATGGCATTGAAGCGGTTCGTGGGCCAAGCCCAGCAGACTTGTGAGGGGAGATACATGTGCCCCCAAGCCGGATACAACCTTCACCGATTGGCAGTGAAGCAGGGGGGCCGGGGGATCAAGGGGGCCGGTGGGCTCTTTGGGCAAAGCCATCAATGCTTGCCACCTCGCCAAACATGAGAGGGAAGGCCATAGTGTCAAGAAAGCGCCTAGAAGGCACATATGCCTGCGTGTCAACATAGGGGACCTTAACTAGGTCCTCCAATAAAGAGGGTTAGAATAAGGGCACCCTTGTTTCTGTAGCCTATTTTAGTAGGGGCTTTCCCTCCCAACCAAAAAAAGAAACGGTAAAAGTTGGCACTACTGCGGGACCTCGCTGGTTGTCTGTCGGCCTCCTTGGAAGCCGCTGACATTCCGTCACCCCCAAGCCCTCAATGGATTCCATCGGGATCCGACCAACGGTTCCAACTTTTCTGGGTTCTCAGAATCTTTTGGCGGGCTTCAAGAGGACGCAACAGGAAGACGGATTCATGAAACCTGCGCACAACGAGCCTAAGGGAACCCTAGCCAGTTTTGAAACATCCGCATGCCAGCAGTTTCAACCCTTCCCGCCCAGCCCACGCACCACCGTTTTTCCGCCAAGCCTTTGGACTGGTTTCGGACGGCCAGTGGTCCGTCGTGGTCTGTGCGTGTGGACTTCTTTTCGAGATGTTCATTGGCGCGTGTCCTCCAAAACAAGTCAGGTGAGACAAAAGCAACGGATGATCAGCTAACACAGCCGGAAGGCAGACTGGCGCAATGCACATTTCGAACTGTTTAAATTCCCACGCTATGTGCTCGCGGTGGGTGTCATGAGCCCCCTATCAGTGGAGCGGTGGGCTGCTGAGAGTATTTGCTATCTGGACAGTCTTGTTTCACACTTAACACTTCAGAAAATTGGGCAGGCCGAATCCATGCCAATTGTTATATTTTACGCGCCTCTTGAGGAATGCCCTTCATGGGAGTTGCAAGGCAAACCCCAGTCTCAAAAAGAAATGGTTGCCTCTGACTACTGGACCGGCTTGGCAATTCCTGTAGTGATAGCGAATTCGGAGCCGACTGTGCCTCAAACTACCTATACTTTTGAATGAGGCAAGCAGCTTCGTGCGACTACACACATCTACAGGAATCAATCACAGGATTCGTCACGGCCTGCGACGGTTGCTGCACACGCCAAGTCACAAGGAGAAGTATCCTTCACACATGGAAGGCTCTAGCAACGCTATCTGTGCCTGTAGAGCCGCCATAAGCTTTTTGGCTCCTGCATTTAAAAAAAACCGCTGCTCAAATAGGGGAACCACCTCATGAGTTGGACATTTAAACAAAACACCTCAATGATGAAGTGGTTGGGCATTGGCCAAGAAACACCCAAATGATGTCCGTTTTTTTGATGCCTTGCAAAGGGGCAGGAAACAAGGGGTGAGACACCATTTTGCCAACCTACCGCGATGCCTGACACTATGACAAGAAAAGATGGCCATGAATCAACCCTGACTCCTGACCGTCCACGGATGCCAAGTGCGAGGCTGTCAAAAATGTGGTTGTGTCAGCATGTTTCACCGGTTTTACGCACACCCACAAGACACAGTTCTTTAACCTGCAACTCTTCATGAATAGAGCTGGGCCCAGTTAGAATGTGTATTTGATTGTTTGCTTCACTTTGAGTCACTGGTAAAATGTAAAATGTATTCTAAGTCTACCCCAGTCTTGACGAGATCCGGTTTGACATCCACTGTCTTCCCGCCAGAACGGCTTCGCTCCAGTCTCATCGTAGCCAGGACGAGGCCGAAGTATGCGGTAGGCCTCAAAGGCGCAAGGCGCAACCAGTAAGCCGTTTGGTGGATGGGTCTTTCTCCCATGCAACTGTTTTCATGGCCAGCGGCGTGTAAAACTTATGAGCAAAAAAAGCTATGAGCGTACCCCAAAGCAAAAAAACAAACGCATCAGGTGAATTCTATGAGGAAACCCTATGAGGCCTCACCCAAAGCAAAAAAAACAACGCAGTTCTCCCGTCCAGTTCTCCCGACTTCTGAAAGTGCCAGACTGCGCTCACAACATAACGTGGAGGGCGGCCGCCCGTCTTCAGGTCTCAAAGTTGGTTGGGACCCTCACAACGGTCCGTGCTGAAAGGGGCAGGGAACGCGGATAGTAACCCGGGTAACCCACCGACCATGGTAAAAATGTTGTGGGTTAGAATCGTGGTTACAACCACTTACTTAGTGTTTTGCCGGCTTTGAAGCAATTGGGCCGTTGACGAAAAAATAGTAAGCCCCCCTCTCCCCTGTCCCTTCCAAATGCCAAAGCGCAGCCCAGGACCCTTTTGGTTAACATGTAGCACAAGGAGGCGCCAAGGGTCCTAAAAGGCGCCGCTGCTTCCTTGAACACCCCGTATTCATCTAAATTAGCTAACGCGCAGAATCTGAGGGGTGGACACAAGCCCAAAAATGGCGCGCCTCCAAAAAAACAGCCCGAAAACGGAAGCCCACGACAATGGAGCGTCCCCCAGTAAACAACCCCCCAAGAACAGAAGCTTCCATGTCTCTTGGGTTTCAACTTGCGTCGGGTCTCACCCCCGTGGGCCCCGGCAGGCCCAATCCGAAGACTCCCCAGGCCGAATCGCGACCAGGAGGGCTCCAGTGTCCGATTCGAGTTGCGGCTTGGACTCGCTCCATTTGAGTTGTTCCCTTTTGTTTCGTGATTTCGTTCGTATTTTCTGCATGTGTTGTTCCTGTGCGCTCAAGCTTCTCTGTAGGGGCCTTTTGGGGGGGGCCTGTTTTCGGGGCATTTCCGGGAACAATGTGTCTTCGCATGCAAACTGGGCTGGTTCGACTGGGGCCCGACGTTCCAAAGGCAGTCCTGCAACGGCACCTTCGAAAAAGACATTGAAATACCTTGACTCTGAGCTTCTTGGCTGCGGCGCAGAAGGCGCGGATTCGCCCGAGTCGGGGACACAGCAACAGCTGGGCAACCTGGGTGTGGTGTGCCAAAGTTTCACATGGGAGCCCCATGACACGGTTGGTTTCCTTGTGGTTTCCCTTTAAACACCCCGGAGTAAAAAGGGCATCCTCAAACAGCGACACACCCATAGTATCGCCCCGCCAAACCGAACAGAAGTTCCCTTTCAAAGGCGACGAAGGTGACGTTGACCGGACAAACGCAAGAACCCGCACGTGTGGGCAATATTGCATCCTAGCTCCTGAAACCTCTGCACACAGACGCAACACACACGACACGCCAACACCGCCCGGCCGGTTCCACAGACCCCAACACAAGCCCCCCCCCCTCAACCACCCAATCCCTCCCACCCAACCACCCAAACCCATCATACACCCACCCCCCAAAAACAATACCACACCGCTCGATTGCGCAGGTGATGCTGACGGGTCGGACCAATGCAATATAAGAATCCCTGTGTGGGGGCAAGATTACAATCCTGAAATCTGCACGCGCACACACAGACACACCAACACCAACACCAACACCAACACAAACACCACCCCGCCGGCTTCCACAAACACCCCAAGCCCACCAAATCCCTCCAGCCCTAAACCCCTCCCACCCCTCACCTCACTCTCCCCAGCCAACCCCAAAGGCCCCACCCAAACCGTCCAAAGCACCAGAGCGCAAGGTCCACCCCATCGGCACGTAAGCTTTCCCGCTTCCCATACTGGATCCATGAGAGTCACATCCTCAAATCGACCCTGTAAACAAAGGTTTACAGGGGGTTTCCCACCCCAACACTTGAGAATCCACAACGATCTGATTTCATGGAAAGCCACAAAGCAATTTTCAGAACCCGTCAAGCTGCCTCGCCACTTTTAAGGAACTCACGCTTTGAAACCGGCGCCGGCGCCCGACTTTGTCGCGGCTTCAAAGGGGCGTCCGCGTTCCCGAGGTCTTGGATCTGTTCCCAAGATGATGACTGACCCTTGTAGCCTCGATTTGCTTAAGGTGTCACAGCAACAATCAGATACATCCATCCCCTTGTGTTGTGAAATCGACATTTCATGGGATATTTGGCACTCGGTGTTCGACTAGTCACAACAATGTCCGCCCATCAATCATGGGAGTAAACTTCCCTGACTTAAGAAGGAGGTTCCCACAGAAAGTCAGGGTTCCCCCATATGTGCTGCGGTCAATAGTTGACACGCCGGCCAAATTAAAAAACTCTTTGAACATGCTTAGACCCTGGTTATTGCCCCCTTACACATCGCCCAAGAGGAAACTCATCAACCAGTGGCAACCAAACGGTGACGCTTCCGGCACGGACATAGGGCCTTTTTGCTTTTTTATCTGGACTGCTTTGACAAACCAAAAAGCAACCACCCATCTCAAGGGGTCCCTCACACGACATCTGACAAGCCACCAATTGCCACAGCCAAGGCGGTCGATTCCGATGCTTCCGATCGTGGATCGGATCCTAAAACGGGAGAGAGCACTTCCCGAGCTGGCGGTCGTTTGTGTGGCATGCCCCCGGTTTTGGGGTACATGGAAACCAAAAGCAAACCCATGAGGACCTGAACGGAGAGTCCGGAAAAAGTGTCATGGAGCTCAAATACAGATGGGCATCTCAAACTTCTGATTTCCACCAAAAGGAGTTGCCGCCATACACTCCTAAAGTACTCTCATGAAAACTTACCTGGAACCAAAAGGCAAAAACCACTGCCCAAATAGGGAATATCATTTTTGGGGGGGCACCCTTGTTCAGTGTTTTTCAGGGAAAACCCGAAGGACAACTGCCCATTACGGGGTGTCCCCCAAAAACAAAGAGAGACCCCAGATCTCCTTTTGGGGCTTTCGGTTGGGCGTGGATTGCTATGGGAAAGAACACTCCAAAATGAACAACCTGGACCTTCCAAATCCAACTTTTTCCATGAAGCTGGGAGTCTCTGTTGGAAATAACTTTGAGAAAAGGAAGACCCAGGAAGGGACCGGGTCTAAACCTTTCACGTTGAACGGTCTCATCTCGCCTCCGCATTCAACCCCCCGCGAGCTCGGCTTCGCTTCTCGGAGCTGTGCGCGCTCGAATCGGCCTCGGAGGGTTTCGACTTCCATCAGCCCGGCACTTCCATCAGTGGTCAGCGCCCCAAAACAAAAAGAACAAAAACAAAAAAAGAGGAAACAAAAGAAAAAGAAGAAACAACACTGGGTCACCCAAGCCCAAACGCAGAACATGGCCATGGGCTTTTCAAAGCCCAAATCGGGTCATCCGCCCCGTGAACAACCAATCCAACCACTATATAGGTTCATTGACATGGGTAAATTCGCCAATCCCAACCAAAAATGGGATCCGATCCAAAACGGTTTTGACAGCCATATCTTTAAGTTCATCCGAGAATGAGAGATCAGGCACCACTTGTGCTCCTTTGGCCTTGGGAGCGGGGACCCTTCAAGCGGCAGATGGGCCGCTGGTTCCCCGTAGAGTCGATCGATCGGAGAATGTCAACCGACAGTCACACCATTGCTGGAGTTAGACAGGCGTATATTGGGTCAGTCGGATACTTCCATGCTAACATCTCGAATGATAGCACGCAACATGTTTTTTTTCTGCCCGCGTCAAACTGGCGAGGGGAACAGGCGAAACCTAACAGTTTTGGTCATGCTTAATGTTGCAAATGTTTCTGATTGTTTTGGGACGGCCTGCAAACCTGTCAGCACTAACTATAAAGTGCAGTTATGTGTAGTTCACTGAGAGGACAAGTTAGACACACTCCATAAATGGTTGTAGGAGTCTCAAACCCACAGTAGATGCGAGACCAATCGCAGGGTGTCTCGACGCTCGACACCTTCCACCCTAGGTGCATTCCATCAGTGGAAGCTCTGGGTTACATATTTACAACATTGCCATGTCGGAGACCCATATGGATGTAGGGTTTCCTTTTGGTTCCCTTTAAAACCACCCAAAAGGGGGTACCCTTAAAAGAAGACACGACACGACCAGATCCGCTCAGACGCTGCGCCGCTTTGCAACTCTTTCCGTCCTCATTGCGCTTCGGCGGCTTTCTAAAAACACAGCCGGCCATTGCAGACTTTGATTCCCGCTGGGTTGGAAACACTTCGCAGAAGTCAACGCGAGAACGGGAGCCGTCACTCCTTGGCCAACTGAACGGATCCATGTTTGGGGCGTGCCAAAAGCAAAACACCAAGCTTCCTACGGCTTCCTATGGAGCATCAGTCAGTTTTCACCAGTTCCATGGCCAACACCCGCTCTGTACAGCTCAGGGATCCAAATCAAATATCAAATCTAGGCCTCAACTTCGCCAGCTTCGCCAGCCGTCTCCACACCCGCCGGCTCCAACCCGCCGCTGGCACTTGCGCTGGACGTCAGATCGGCGAGCGAGCCATAGGTCGCCAGGCCGAAGCTCGGGAGGTGGAGCATTTCCAGCGGGCCGTCGGGATCCAGCCGCACCTCGTACAAGTTCGTGCGCTCCTCTGTCGCTGGCAAAAAAAAGGTTTCTGTTTTGTTTCTAAGTCTCTGTGTCCCTCCCCCGGCAACGCATCAAGTGTCAAGTGTGGAAGGGGCATGGGCTGCACAGGAGTCGGGCCCAGGTCATACATTAGGTAACAAATACGCCAGCCCCTTCAAACGACCACCATAAACGCGTTTTAACCATGTTTCAACCATGTATAGATTTCTTCATTTTTTTTGGTCGGGGAGCGGGACAAAAATGCGCATTTCCCATCCTGGCGGCTGGCGACCTTGGTCAACTTCTGGCTCTTCCCGCCCACGACGACCACCCCCCCGGTGCTGAGCTGATCTGCCCGCGCGGCCTCACAACCTTCGCCTGAGCGCGAAAAAAAACCGAAGCCGGTGGTCAAGGCCATGACCACCTTGGATCAATAGATTTGCCTTTTGCAACAAAGGAGGGTCCCGGAAGAAAGTTCCCCGGCCCAGGTTGATTTAGAAGCGAGCAGTATTGCTGTGGCCAAGTTTGAGGTTTCATTTCAGGTAGTGTTGCTGGAGGTTCCTTTTGAGATTGGATTGGAGGGACTTGACTTTCCATTTCACTTTGTACTGCTGGATTTAAGTTTCCGCTTGATCTAGTATTGGTTCATAGGAAGTTCAAAATTATATTGCTGGATTTGAGTTTCAATTATATTGAGAATTGCTTGAGTGGAGTTTTGCATGATTCAGTATTGCTTGAGTGGACTTTCCGTTTCATTGAGTATTGCCTGATGGGATTGTTCATTTTACTTGGGATTACTTGTGGCCTCTTTTCTTTGAGCGGGGGGGGCAGGCAGACAACTTTGTTCAGTGGGCCTGGTGAATACAGTCCCTGGCGGCCTGGAAGTACCCCTTTCCCCCTGGGAACTGGAACAGTTCCGCAAGAAGCACCATGCACGAGGTTTCCAAAGTTTCGGGAAACCGCACATTTAGGATTTCTCAGATGCCCAGTGGATTTATCCATGGAGGAAAAAGAGAAAAAAAAACGAATCGGCCTCCGTTTGTGGTTGCGGCCGACTTCGGGGCACACATTTCGGACTGGAGGCTTCAAGGACCAGAAGTTGGCACTTCGGCCGCTCTCTTTCGGTCAAAACACCCGGGTTTTTGCGCGGCTCAAGAAATGACAAAAGGTTTTCCTGGGTGGGTCATTGACCTCCAAAGTGTGGCTTCTTAGGGAAAGTCCTAGAAGGTTGAGGGTGCAACCAAAGCGTAAGCAAGCTTCTATACATACAATAAGCCCATGTCGGAATGGAACCCCCCAATTTCCGCAGGTGAAACTGGTTGCAGGTGGAAGTCGAATGGTCCGTCGAGCAAACTCCTCGTCAACGTGCTGAAATCAATATTTAATTAATCTGATGCGCCGCGCCTTCAGACTCGCCTGCAGGCACCGCCACGCGGTGGGACTTGGACACTGTGGACAGCCCTTGCCGCGTCGTGAGCTCCACCAAGCCGTACGGCTTCTTCTTGGCGCGGTGCAGGTGCATGCCCACGACGGCGGCTTCGCTGTGGTCCAGCAGCCGCACGCGGTCTCCGATCTTCAACTTCTCCACTCGGAGCAGGTGGCCATCCACGCCGTGCAACGCCGTGTTCGGCAAGAAGCACTTGGCCGAGCGGCTGCTGGCGTCCGAGTGCTCTGACTCTCCGACGACGGAGAACACATCCGAGGCATCCTTGGGAGTCGGAACTTCACCTGAGCCGCCAAGGGCCAGGCTTGGGCCTTCAGCTTGAGGATCAGCGTCAGAGCGGCTGAAAGCCTCGGTTCTTGGTCAAATCAACGTGGCTCCCACACATGACGCACGTTTTGGTGTGCCACTTGTATGTAGCCAGAACGTTTCCCCCGTTTTCAACAGAACGGGTTGCATGGTGTGAATCAATTGCACCACAGGCGTGTCATCGATAGGAGGATTGCCACCATCGAGTTCCACGGCATGATTGTCGCTGTATGTGTCTTGCCCAACTGCCTGATGAAAAACTGAGTGACTTAGAAGAACGATTAGAACACGTTGCCACCAAGTTCCCTTTGGGCTTTCATCTTAGATCTCCTTGGTGTCGCAACATCCTTAAACCAGAAAACCGACAGCTGCCCACGGCCCTTATTTCTGCTGGGGTGCCAGAACATCATCGCAGTGCTCCTTCAGGTGCAAGATGCGTTGCGTCATTTGCTCCGACTTCTGCGCCTTCTGGGTCAGCAACGCAATCCTCTGCTGCAGAATCTCGTTCTCTTGCTGCAAGCCCTCAACTTTCTTCATCTCCTCCGCCTTCTCCTGCGCCAACTCGTCAAGCTGCTTCTGGAGGGTCTGCGCGATCTCCTTCTGCTCCTTCTCCGTCTCGAGCTCTGCCATCAGCGACTCAATCCTCTGCTGCAAAGCCTCTTTCTCATGCTGCGCAGACTCGGCTTTCTGTGTCTCCTCTGCCTTCTCCCTCGCCAACAGCTCATAGCGGCGCTTGGACTCGTCCAGCTGATTCTGCAGGTCCTGCTTCTCCCGCATGATTGCCTGGCGGGTGGACTCATCAAGCCGCGACTGGATCTCAGGCGGGGGAAGCAAGGAGAAATCGAAGCGGTCCACATATGTTGAATACAGCTCCAACTGCGGCTCGGGGCTTTCGAAGGTCGCCTCCAGCACCAGCCTCTCCGCGCCCTCCTCCACCCACAGCTTCCACCACCCCGCGGCCTTCTCCCAGCGCAGCCGCACCGCACCGCCGCCCGGGAGGTCGTGGCGCTGCATTCGGCCGCTCGGAAGCTGCTCGGTGACCCGGCGGCGGCCGAGCGGGTCGAAGCCGACCTGCGCCACGTGCCTCGGCGCCGCCCCAGGCCGCAGCTCGCGGAGGTAAGCCGAGGAGCAGCCGGGCGCCTGAGGCCGGGGGCGCAGCTCCAGGCCGCCGGCGCCGCTCGCGGGCCACGGCGCCGTGGAGCGGCAGCCGTTCCGGCCCGCGGTCTGCCACGCGAGCTCCGAGGGGGCCATGGGGACGTATCAAAAGCGGCGAAAGGCTGAGACTGAGACTTTCGGAGCCGAAATCTGCTCAGAAAGCATTCAACCGCAGCATGTGCACATGCACATGCAAAAACACTCCTTGAAATCATATGCATCAAAACAGTTTCCGGGCGCCTAGTGCTTGAAAGGCTCAACACCCGTTCCCTCAGCCCGGCGCTCGCCCCAGGGGCCCCAGCCCATGCTCTGGTTGCTGGAAGCCTCGAGGCTGGGTACGCACTGAGAAGTTTCGGCTGGGTGGGCTGAATAATGACAGGTATCAATCAGCCGAAATCCTGTTGAACCACATTTGCTTGGTCGGTGAGTTGGTGTGTTAATGGTATTGGTCAAGTTGCACTCGCTTGGCCGTTTGGTCACTGAGTGAGTAAACAGCCTCGTGTTTTGATATTTTGCTTGACAAACACTTGTTTCTGTTTTTTGCAAGAAACTCGCATGACCATTAAGTTAAAGGAGTATGACAAAACATGGCTATATCATTAAGGTGCCAGGCACCTCCAACGAACCTCGACCCTTCAAGCTCCCAAAACCAATCCGTAGCCGAGAGGTTAAGAAAAACAACCTCGGCAAAGCAGGTAGAAGGGCAAACAGACACGAGTCTTCGTATTTCAAAACAACGTTGTCGACGATGTGGGGGCTCACCCATGGAGTTGGTGGGTAAGCAGATCGAATCCACAATGACATGCACCAAATCCGGAAATTCAGCCCGACACATTACCCGACTATATGCGGCCGTTGAACACAAGTAAATTGGTTTACTGTGTCCACAAGGACAGAACAACATCAAATGTTGTCCAAAACTGCATCACATATTCCCCTTGTTTAAGACAAAAACAATAACAGAACAGTCCGTTCCCTCCCAAACCACTGAACGAAAAGGACCAGGGGCTCTGATGTGACGAAGGTTTCTCAAAGTCGAAGGGCACCAACTGGGCAGCCCGATTCGACCGATTTAAGACACATCCGATTCGTGTCATGCAAAGAGCTGGGAGGGGAGAAGCCGCCCACCTCTACACGAGGCGAAACCCCTGCAAACACTGCGACTGACATCGACAATGGATGCAGACAAGACGAAACCGAAAAAAAAACTGCTCCCGCTCAGCTACGGTCACATTTTACGGTTGCATGAGAGAATGGGTGAGTTGATCGGGTTTTGTGGTTGACAAGAAGTATAGTCAGTTCCCCCCCCTGTCCGTTCCAAATGCCAGAGCGCAGCGCAGGGGCCCCTTTGGCATCTCCTTCAACATGCTGCACAAGGAGGCGCCAAGGGTCCTAAAAGGAAGCGGCCACGCTGCTGACAACCTCGCCGCTGCTTCTTTAAACACCCGGTATTCATCTAAATTAGCTAACGCGAAGAATCTGAGGGGTGGAAACAAGCCCAAAAATGGCGCGCCTCCAAAAAAACAGCCCGAAAACGGAAGCCCACGACAATGGAGCGTCCCCCAGTAAACAACCCCCCAAGAACGGAAGCTTCCATGTCTCTTGGGCTTCAACTTGCGTCGGGTCTCACCCCCGTGGGCCCCGGCAGGCCCAATCTGAAGACTCCCCAGGCCGAATCGCGACCAGCACTGAGGGCTCCAGTGTCCGATTCGAGTTGCTTCCTTTGGGCCTGGGGCTTGGACTCGCTCCATTTGAGTTTAGTTTTTCCCTTTTGTTTCATGATTTCGTTCGTATTTTCTGCATGTGTTGTTCCTGTGCGCTCAAGCTTCTCTGTAGGGGCCTTTTGGGGGGCCTGTTTTCGGGGCATTTCCGCGAACAATGTGTCTTCGCATGCAAACTGGGCTGGTTCGACTGGGGCCCGACGTCCCAAAGGCAGTCCTGAAACGGCACCGAAAAAGACAGTGAAATGCCTTGACTCTGAGCTTCTCGGCTGCGGCGCAGAAGGCGCGGATTCGCCCGAAGCGGGCAACCTGGGTGTGGTGTGCCAAAGATTCATATGGGAGCCCCATGACACGGTTGGCTTCCTTTGTGGTTTCCCTTTAAACCCCGAACTAAATAAAGTATATCCAACAAAAGCGACACAATCATATTATCACCCGCGAAACAAAGTACAAGGTCCCTTTCAAAGGTGACGTTGACCGGGCGGACAAACGCAAGATAAGAACCCGCACGTGTGGGCAATATTGCCCTTGCTCCTGAAACCTCTGTGCACACACACACACACACAAACGCAACACACACGACACACCAACACCACCCGGCCGGTTCAACAGACCCCAACCCCCCCCCCTCAACCCCCCAATCCCTCCCACCCAACCACCCAAACCCCCACACCGCTCGCTTGCAAAGGTGATGCTGACGGGTCGGACCAATGCAATATAAGAATCCCTGTGTGTGCGGGCAAGATTACAATCCTGAAATCTTCACGAACATCAACACAATCACCACCCCGCCGGCTTCCACGAACACCCCAACCCCACCAAATCCCTCCAGCCCTAAACCCCTCCCACCCCACACCTCACTCTCCCCAGCCAACCCCAAAGGCCCCACCTAAACCGTCCAAAGCACCAGAGCGCAAGATCCACCCCATCGGTGCGTAAGCTTTCCCGCTTCCCATACTCGATCCATGAGAGTCACATCCTCAAATCGACCCTGTAAACAAAGGTTTACAGGGGGTTTCCCACCCCAACACTTGAGAATCCACAACGATCTGATTTCATGGAAAGCCACCACCTAATTTTGACAACCCTCGCCACTTTTAAGGAACTCACGCTTTGAAACCGGCGCCGGCGCCCGACTTTGTCGCGCGCGGCTTCAAAGGGGCGTCCGCGTTCCCGAGGTCTTGGATCTGTTCCCAAGATGCTGGCTCTGCCGTGCCTCGATTTGCTTAAGTCACAGCAACAATCAGATACTATGGGTGTTAAATAGAAATTCTGCGAACATCCATCCCCTTGTGAAATCGACATTTGGGATAGTTGGCACTCAGTATTCAACTAGTCACAACAATGTCCGCGAAAGAGGACATCCCCTTTCCATCAATCATGGGAGTGCAGTTCGAGGTTCCCACAGAAAGGCAGCGTTCCCCCATATGTGCGGCGGTCCCTAGTGGAGGCCAAAGTAAAGAACTCTTCAGAACATGTTTTGACCCTGGTTATTGCCCCCGTACACATCGCCCAAGAGGCAACTCATCAAACCGTGGCAACCAAACGGTGACGCTTCCGGCCCGGAGATGCCGTTTCTCAAAATAGGGGAGTCCCCGTTGCCCCTTTGACGGTTTTAACAAGAAAAAGCAACCCACCTCAAGGGCTCCCCTCGCCCCGACAGACAAGCCACGCCAACGGTCGAGCGCGGCCCGCGGATTGGATCCAACTCGCGATCAGACCGGACCGGTTTTCCGAGCAGCGAGCCTGGCAATTCCTTCACTTCCCGGTGGTGGTGGGCGGGTGGTGTGTGTGGCATGCCCCGTTTTTTGGGGTCAACGGCAAGTGGAATCCAAAAGTACACCCATGAGGACCTGCTGAACGGAGAGTGCGGAAAAATAACATGGAAACCAACATGATTTCCACCAGAAGGAGTTGCCGCCAAATTGGCGCGAGCACATCCATACGCTCCTAAAGTACTCTCCTGAAACCTGGAACATGGCTAAAACAGCCGCCCAAATGGGGAATGGCATATTGAGGGAGGGGCACCCCTGTTCGGTGTTTTTCAATGAAAGCCCTCAGGAAACCGCCCAAAAACAAAGAGAGACCCCAGATCTCCTTTTGGGGCTTTCGGTTGGGCGCTATGCGAAAGGGCACTCGTGGCTTTGGCTTGACTTCAAAAGGGCTCACCTGCTCCAACAAGAGTTGAAAAAGAGCCCAAAAGGGGCTGAGTTGAGCTTGAAACGGATTTGTCAGGTTTAAACCCATTCATTTCCTCCCAAAACAACAATGAACAAGGGGCCTGAAAGGCTTTCGTTCGTGTTGAACGGTCTCATCTCCACTCCGCCCCTGGCGCCCGCGAGCTCACCTTCGCTGCTCGCAGCTCCGCTCGAATCTGCGGCCTCGGAGGGACGACTTCCATGGTCAGCGGCCCGGCACATTCACGAGAAACAACACTGGGTCACCCTAACAGAACACACATGGCCATCGGTTCGCCCCCAGTGAACATCAGCCAATCCAACCACTAAAATAGGTTCATTGGCATGGGTGAATTCACCAATCCCAACCCAAAAAGGGATCCGATCCAAAACGGTTTTGACCGCCATATCTTTAAGTTCATCCGAGAATGAGAGATCAGGCACCACTTGTGCTCGTGTGGCCTTGGGAGCTGGACCCTTCAAGCGGCAGATTGGCCGCTGGTTCCCCGTAGAGTCGATCAATGGCGAATGTCAGCGACAGTCACACCATTGCTGGAGTTAGACAGGCGTATATTGGGTCAGTCGGATACTTCCATGCCTTCCATCTCGAATGATACTACGCAAAACGAGCAACAATAAGGCAACAGCACACGCACGTTGTGTGCTGCATGTGAGGAAAGCAGCATGTGCTTTTCTGCCCGCGTCAAACTGGCGAGGGGAACAGGCGAAACCTAACAGTTCTGGTCATGCTTAATGTTGCAAATGTGTCTGATTGTTTTGGGACGGCCTGCAAACCTGTCAGCACTAACTATAAAGCGTAGTTATGTGTAGTTCACGGAGAGGACAAACTAGACACGCTCCATAAATGGTTGTAGGAGACTCAAACCCACAGTAGATGCGAGACCAATCGCAGCAATATGAATTTGCTTTGATTTGGCAATGTGCCTTCGAGACACCCCGACGCTCGACACCTTCCACCCTAGGTGCATTCTATCAGTGGAAGCTCTTGGCTACATAGTTGCCATGTTTTAGGACACCCATCTACATAGTTGCCATGTTTAAAACCACCCAAAAGGGGGTACCCCTAAAAGACACGACACGCCATTCGCTCAGACCCTGCGCCGCTTTGCAACTCGTCCTCATTGCAGCGCTTCGGCGGCTTTCTAAAAAACACAGCCGGCCATTGCAGACTTTGATTCCCGATGGGTTGGAAACACTTCGCAGAAGTCAACGCGAGAACGGGAGCCGTCACTCCTTGGCCAACTGAACGGATCCATGTTTGGGGCGCGCCAAAAGCAAAACACCAAGCTTCCTACGGCTTCCTATGGAGCATCAGTCAGTTTTCACGAGTTCAATGGCCAACGCCCGCTCTGTACAGCTCACAGATCCAAATCAAATATCAAATCTAGGCCTCAACTTCGCCAGCTTCGACAGCCGTCTCCACACCCGCCGGCTCCAACCAACCGCTGGCACTTGCACTGGACGTCAGATCGGCGAGCGAGCCATAGGTCGCCAGGCCGAAGCTCGGGAGGTGGAGCATTTCCAGCGGGCCGTCGGGGTCCAGCCGCACCTCGTACAAGTTCGTGCGCTCCTCTGTCGCTGGCAAAAAAAACGTTTCGGACACGCGCAACAGTGTCTGGTTCCTAAGTGCGCGTGCTGTAGGTTCAAACAAATACGATAGCCCCTTCAAACGACTACGATGGACACGTTAACCATGTTTCAACCATTTAGTGTTCTTCTTCATTTTTTCTCGGGGAGCCGGAAAAAACGCGCATCCCATCCTGGCGGCTGGCGACCTTGGTCAACTTCTGGCTCTTCCCGCCCACGACGACCGCCCCCCCGGTGCTGAGCTGATCTGCCCGCGCGGCCTCACAACCACCTTGGATCAATGATTTGCTTTTTGCAACAAAGGAGGGTCCCAAAAGAAAGTTCCCCGGCCCAGGTTGATTTAGAAGCGAGTAGTATTGCTGTGGCCAAGTTTGAGTCTCCATTTCAGGTAGTGTTGCTGGAGGTTCCTTTTGAGATTGGATTGGAGGGACTTGACTTTCCATTTCACTTTGTACTGCTGGATTGATCTAGTATTGGTTCATAGGAATTTCAAAATTATTGAGTATTGCTGGATTTGAGTTTCTATTTTATTGAGAATTGCTTTGATCGGAGTTTTGCATGATTCAGTATCGCTTCAGTGGACTTTCCGCTTCATTGAGCCTCTTTTCTTTAACGGGGGGGGCAGGCAGACAACTTTGTTCAGTGTGCCTGGTGAATAAAGTCCTTGGCGGCCTGGAAGTACCCCCCCCTGGGAATTGGCACAGTTCCGCAAGAAGCACCATGTAGGAGGTTTCCAAGTTTCGGGAATCCGTACATTTAGGATTTCTCAGATGCCCAGTGGGTTTCCATGGGAAAAAAAACGCATCGGCCTCCGTTTTTGGTTGCTTGACTTAGGGGCACTGGACATTTCGGACTGGAGGCGGCTTCAAGGACCAGAAGTTTCCGTTCCTGCCAGGGGCCCCCGAAACACCTGGGTTTTCCTGACATGACAAAAGGTTTTCCTGGGTTGGTCTTTGACCTCCAAAGTGTGGCTTCTTAGGGAAAGTCCCAGAAGGTTGAGGGTGCAACCAAAGCGTAAGCAAGCTTATATACATACAATAAGCCTATGTCGGAATGGAACCCCCAAATTACCGCAGGTGAAACAGGTTGCAGGTGGAAGTCGAGTGGTCCGTTGAGCAAGCTCCTTGTAAACGTGCTGAAATCATTTAATCTGATGCGCCGCGCCTTCAGACTCGCCTGCAGGCACCGCCACGCGGTGGGACTTGGACACTGTGGACAGCCCTTGCCGCGTCGTGAGCTCCACCAAGCCGTACGGCTTCTTCTTGGCGCGGTGCAGGTGCATGCCCACGACGGCGGCTTCGCTGTGGTCCAGCAGCCGCACGCGGTCTCCGATCTTCAACTTCTCCACTCGGAGCAGGTGGCCATCCACGCCGTGCAACGCCGTGTTCGGCAAGAAGCACTTGGCCGAGCGGCTGCTGGCGTCCGAGTGCTCTGACTCTCCGACGACGGAGAACACATCCGAGGCATCCTTGGGAGTCGGATCTTCACCTGAGCCGCCAAGGGCCAGGCTTGGGCCTTCAGCTTGAGGACCAGCGTCAGAGCGGCTGAAAGCCTCGGTCTTGTTCAAACAACGTGGCTCCCACACATGACGCACGTTTTGGTGTGCAACTTGTATGTAGCCAGAACGTTTCCCCCGTTTTCAACAGAACGGGTTGCATGGTTTGAATCAATTGCACCAAAGGCGTGTGATCGATAGGAGGATTGCCACCATCGAGTTCCACGGCATGATTGTCGCTGTTGTGTCTTGCCCAACTGCCTGATGAAAAACTGAGTGACTTGCAAGAACGATTAGAACACGTTGCCACCAAGTTCCCTTTGGGCTTTCATCTTAGATCTCCTTGGTGTCGCAACATCCTCAATTAAACCAGAAAACTGACAGCTGCCCACGGCCCTTATTTTTGCTGGGGTGCCAGAACATCATCGAAGTGCTCCTTCAGGTGCAAGATGCGTTGCTTCATTTGCTCAGACTTCTGCGCCTTCTGGGTCAGCAACGCAATCCTCTGCTGCAGAATCTCGTTCTCTTGCTGCAAGCCCTCAACTTTCTTCATCTCCTCCGCCTTCTCCTGCGCCAACTCGTCAAGCTGCTTCTGGAGGGTCTGCGCGATCTCCTTCTGCTCCTTTTCCGTCTCGAGCTCTGCCATGAGCGACTCAATCCTCTGCTGCAAAGCCTCTTTCTCATGCTGCGCAGACTCGGCTTTCTGTGTCTCCTCTGCCTTCTCCCTCGCCAACAGCTCATAGCGGCGCTTGGACTCGTCCAGCTGATTCTGCAGCTCCTGCTTCTCCCGCATGATTGCCTGGCGGGTGGACTCATCAAGCCGCGACTGGATCTCAGGCGGGGGAAGCAAGGAGAAATCGAAGCGGTCCACAAATGTTGAATGCGTGCGCAGCTCCAACTGCGGCTCGGGGGTTTCGAAGGTCGCCTCCAGCACCAGCCTCTCCCCGGCCTCCAATACAGCTCCAACTGCGGCTCGGGGCTTTCGAAGGTCGCCTCCAGCACCAGCCTCTCCGCGCCCTCCTCCACCCACAGCTTCCACCACCCCGCGGCCTTCTCCCAGCGCAGCCGCACCGAGGCGCAGCGGTCCGGGAGCTCGTGGCGCTGCCACCGGCCGCTCGGAAGCTGCTCGCGGACCCAGCCTGGGCGGCCGTCCGCGGCGAAGCCACAAGCCACAAGCCACAAGCCTCCGCCACAAGCCTCGGCCACAAGCCTCGGCGCCGCCCCAGGCCGCAGCTCGCGGAGGGAAGCCCAGGGCCAGTAGGGCGCCTGAGGCCGGGGGCGCAGCTCCAGGCCGCCGGCGCCGCTTGCGGGCCACGGCGCCGTGGAGCGCCAGCCGTACCGGGCGGCTTGCCACACGAGCTCCGAGGGGGCCATGGGGTATCAAAAGCGGCGAAAGGCTGAGACTGAGACTTTCGGAGCCGAAATCTGCTCAGAAAGCATTCAACCGCAGCATGTGCACATGCAAAAGCACTAGTTGAAATCATATGCATCAAAACAGTTTCCGGGCGCCAAGTGCTTGAAAGGCTCAACACCCGTTCCCTCAGCCCGGCGCTCGCCCCAGGGGCCCCAGCCCATGCTCTGGTTGCTGGAAGCCTCGAGGCTGGGTACGCACTGAGAAGTTTCGGCTGGCTGAATAATGACAGGTATCAATCAGCCGAAGGAATCCTGTTGAACCACATTTGCTTGGTCGGTGAGTTGGTGTGTTAATGGTATTGGTCAACTTGCACTCGCTTGGCCGTTTGGTCTGTGGACCGACGTCCCTTAGTTCAATGCTGTGAAATGCCGTCTGTTTGGAAGATCTATTTGTTTACACAAGTCACAGCACCAAGCGTCTAAACGGATAGACAGGTTGAAGGACCAATCCACCAAACCATCCGGCCTGGTTTGGAGAATACACCACAAACAATCAACGGATAGACCAATTAAACAAAGGCGCTTGGAATCAGAGTGACTGCATTAATCAACTTTGTTCGGTATCTGTTGACACGAGGCACCAATTGACACCAACTGACAGAACTCCTTTGCAACAGAAACATCAGCGATGTTCAATCAATGATTTCATGTTGCTCATGTTCAATGCTCGATAATTCAATCCAAACCGCAACATCTTAACAACCAAACCGGAGAACCAAACCGCAGAACCAACCAAACCAGAGAAGTAGCTGACAACTGTTCAACTGGCCTCAAAGTTTGCTTCAGTTCTGAGGCCTTCCATCAAGAGTTGCTGAGTAAGCAGATCCGGGAATTCCGCCCGAACATCCCAAGGGCCCCAAGGGTCAAGTGGGTCCCTACTAAATGGGCTCATGCTCATTCCCAAAGCCTTCCGGTGATTCCAACACATCAACTGTGGCCAAACACATCCCATCCGTCAAAACCAAACGTCGTAATGCTACCAACATGACCTGTCGGGAGGAGGCAGAACCGCCGCGAACCTCTACACAAAGTTTTATGAAGAGGCGAAAAACCGCCGGGTGCAAAGACCTCCCACCAGTTGACATTCGTTGAAAGCAATGGATGCGAAAATTACTAAACCATTTAAACTGCTCCCTCTGAGCTTATCTGATAAAATTAAAGAGTTGACTGGGTTGTGTGGTAAAAACAAAGTTCCCGCCAGTCCCTTCCAAATGGAGCATAGACAAATTAGGACATTTTGACCGAGCCTCAACTGGCTCGGAGGAAACCACAAAGCTCCCGAACAGGATCCGGCCATGTTGCCGACAACGCCACTGCTCCTTTGTACCCAAAACACAGGAAGCTATGGGAAAAAAAAAGGAATCCCAGTGCTTCTTTGTACCCAAAAAAAAGGAAGCTCTGGGAATCTCGAGGCTGGAAATCCGTACCAACCTCTCTGCTTGGCCAAATGCGTTTCTTGGCCAAACCCACGGGTATACCACGCCAAATCTCGGTGGCGAAATCTGCGAAGCCCGGCGAAAAGTGACTAACTTTTAGTGGCTTAATGGAAACCCCCCGATTAGTCGGCCAAAATTGTTAAAGTCCTAAGATCCCTTGGCAAAATGCATCATAAGAAATACAATTTTTCGGATCCTATTCCATACGTAGTCTACCGGGTACCCGGTTACCGGTTACCCAAACAATATGCGCACGTTTGCGGGGGGTAACGGGTAACCCTAGTTTGAGGACCCCCGCGTCCAGTGAAGAAAAAACATCGCCCGCCTCACGATCCGTGGAAGGCGGCCAGGCGGGCGCACACGTCTTCGTTGGCGACCATGTCCAACAAGAAGCCTGGCTTGAAACAGCTTGGCTTGCTTGGCTTTAACCACTCAGTTGTTCAGTGACCCTGGAACAAAAAGGGAACCCTTCTTTGGGAAGACCGTTTTAGTGGGGCAGCCACCGAAAAAAAGGGAAAAAGAATCCGTGCCACTCAGCAACTGAGACCAGGGACTCCGAAACCTGGAAGCTCCCTTGGGGATGATTTCCAGGTTCTAAGACTTCCAAGGGTCCGATCCTCAAAAGGAAGCAGTCTTCCCATGCCCATCGTCGGCTTCGATTGGAGTGAGGGTTTCAAGAACACCCCCCCAAGTTCAGCTCTCCCACCGGACGGTTTGGGGCTTGCGGTTAGCCACTGCGCTGAACTGAGCCGCGCTGGAAACTGGTTCTCCACTGAAGGTTAGGCTCTCATAATACCCCAGTGCTGACAGTCGCAAACCATTCGGGGGATCAGGGAACCCAAACTCTGGATATTGTCTTTCTGGAGCTTGTGTCTTAGGCAGTAAATTGGCACGCAAGCCCAAGTCGCCCCCTTCTACACCATAGTCTTGGGTTGATGAGCGTTGACATCATTGCTTGTATGTTGAAAGCTCCTTCTGTGGGCTCTGCCGGTGATTTTTTCAGGCGGAAGCTGCACAATGGAATCGATGGTTTTCCAGGTCCATGACCATCCCTACCAACCCCAAGTAAAATCGTGTTCTGACCATGTCACATAATATGTTCACAAGGCCGGTGACGTGCCGAGAGAAAGCTGCCACCTCACATCCATGTGTCTGTGCCGTGGGTTGCTGCTACATGCAAGTTGCTACCAAGTACCAGGGGCTTTAACAAAGTCAAGCAGACACTCTGCAGACTCCAGTTTCTTTGTTCTTTAAGGGCTAAGCAAAACAAACATGAACACATCATGATCCTACGCTCGTCAAATAATTCGAAATGATTGAAGCTCACAACCTCATTTCAATCAGTTAGGCCCTTAGAGTACTGCTTTTCTGCTTCGAGCATCTAGTGGGACAGCCGCTCTTCAGGCCCGACGTCATAAATTACAGCTAGGCCCTGTCATATACTTATATAGTAACTGAATAATGATATCACATGTGATCCATATACCTGGACCACCCAACTCGGCAGAAGTTTCTGCCTTCTTGGAAAAGGGAGCCTTTTTGCTGTTGGCGGCGTTTTAGTCACGTGGCAGCGTTTTCAAAATCGAGACTGTTGCGCCAGAACGGCAGCAGGAATCGGCGGAATTCGGGTTTCAGCATGTTGAAGTGCTTGTTGCGTTTTGGCGTTTGTTTCTCGCAGGAAGTGTTTTTGTTGATTGCCGGCGGACATGCTTGCTGCCGGGCCTTTCGGCAGAAAGTTCTGCCACAGGTATGAGTTTTGATTGCTTCACTCAGTAGAATGTGAAAGCGTGCTAACTCCAGCCCCGCGCCGGCCACGCTGCTCCCTTTTGCCCGCGACCGAGCTCGGTCACTTCGCAGCCCACGTGGGCCGCGACTTTCCGACGGCCTGTGCTCCGAGTCAGCTGGGCAGTTGCCTTTGGGAGCGGTCCTATTTACAAGAGCCGATTGCCACATGCCAGGGGCGCGCGAGGGGCTCCCTAGATTTCACCCCGAAGAACATCGCAAGAGAAGCTCACCTGAAATTGGCGACCAACAAGTCAGTGACGCTTGAATCATTGAAATAGCTTAACTAATACATAGGGACCCCCAAGTCTCTCTCTTTCCCTCTCTCTGTCCACACAGCGGCGCCTGTCAAGCATCGAGAGAGATCGAATCGCCGCCCAAGACGAACACCGGCTCTGATCATGCGGCATGCCTTGCCCAAAGCACTGCGGAGCTTTGGGAGCAAAACTGGAGCAAACACCAAGCCGAAGTCGGCTTTGGACAAGTGAGTTGCTCGATCTTTGGCTTTCCAGCTGCCTGTCATGGCGATAAAGGTCTTCCCCATGCGCAGGCTGGTCAGAGGATGGCAGAGCTGCATTCATCGATGGCGAACCGCAGCTCAGACAAAACTTGGCACGTCGAATTTCGTTAAAATTTCAAGGTGCATCTCCGAAATTCCACAGCAAACCTGCCCTTGCCTCTAGGTACTGGAAAAAACATGGATGGCTACCTTCCACTATGCATCAAGGTGCCTTGACCAGTCAGAGTTCAATCCACACCCAAGGAACGACAAATCATCAATCCACAAAAATTGAGCCAAATGGCCATGGTGGATGTAAACTACCATGATGATGATCCCTGTTCCATTCACATTATCAATCCACAAAACTTGGATAAGGAACGTCCAGCCGAACCCAAAGAACCTCAACCCTCAGGCCCCAAAGCTTGGGCGGCGAGCTCGTTTTGCTTTGTCCTCGGTTTTCATCAAAGCCCCCCAAAAAACATGCCTTGATGTGTGCTTATATTTGAAAAAACAAAACAACACCTGCATCTTCCTTTTTGGTATTCCTTTCAAACCAACACTTTTTGCGGTTTCAGCCCCTCACCCCCACCAAAAAAAAAAGGCGTGGTTGGTCCACCTGGATTTCCGGAGGTCTCCTGTCTGTGCAAAGCCACTTGACACGTCGGCCGCGGGTCAAGCGGCGAAGTGAGAGAGCCGAATCCCTTGGCTCCATGTTCTTAAATTGGGAGGTTATGAATCTGAGTGGATGATGTTTCTTGAATTTGGGGTTATGAATGTGATTTTGTCTTGTGAGTGGATGATGTTTCTTGGATTTGGAGGTTGTGAATATGTGATTTTCTGATGTTTCTTGAATTTGGAGGTTATGAATGCGACTCTGGTTGTCATGATGCAAGAAGTCAGCGAACAAATGTTGCGCAGAAAGGCATAAAGGCATACCGTCCTTTTGCAGGACAAGCCCCCACTTGGATCACGTTTTCTGGCTGCTGGTGTGCTCAGCGCACCTGGGTTCACAAACGTGCAAGCGAAACGTTTGGGCCTCGCTCAAAATGGATTAATGTCGGGAGAGTGGAGGGGAGGGGAGGGGAAGGGAGGGGAGGGGAGGAGAGGAAGGGAAGGGGAGGAGAGGGAGGGGAAGAGAGGGAGGGAGGGAGGGAGAGAGAGAGAGAGAGAGAGGGCAAGCGAAAGAGTAAGTGGGAACCATGTGTATCTGCCGGCGCTGGCAAACAACAAACACCTGGGCAAACAGAAAGGAAACCCAACCAAGCAGGAGGGGTTTTAGTTTCAGAAAAACCCATTCGCCGGCCCGTGAGCGAAACTGAAGATCAACGCCGGTCTGTCGGCCAAGGGGTGCTTGGTTGTTGTGTAGAGCTAGGTTGAAAGCATTGCAAAGGACGGTATCTAGTGTTGCTGCTGCCCAGGTATGCGTTAAATTAAAACCGGGAACCCCTGAAAGTGAGTGGTTGCGTCTCGGCTTCCCTTTCATCCAACCTGAAAAGCTGCCAAAAAAACCAACAGCGCCTCAGGCAAATGCCAATAGATCCCCAGCTGGACTTCGGGAATTCAGGCCACTAAGTCCCCAAGCTTGCACTTTCGCGGATCGAGGCTACCTTTGCTTGGTTGCGTTAGACGATGGTCTGGGATTCCTCTGGGCGTTTTTGATTCCTTGGCTCCAAAACGGTATTCCCCAAAAAGTGGGCCCACGGCATTTCGCTGTCTAACTAAAGGTCCAAGAAGTCCACGAACAGGAGTTGAAGGGTATTTTTACAAACGGTTTGAAGCAACCCTGGAAAGTAAGTCCAAAATCCCTGCTCCAGCTGCCTCCAGTCCGCCTGAGGCAAGCCTGGAAGCGGTCAGCTCCCAGGGCCGGGAAGCGGTCAGATCCCTTCGTACAACTCCCGCTCCGGCCTTATCCCCCTAAAACCCAGTCGAACTAGAAAACCGGGCAAATCCCCCTCTAGAAGCTGAGCAAATCTCTCCCAGAAACTGGCCAACTTCCCATTTACAATGCCCTCTAAAAACCGGTCCCAACTCCGGAAACCCCCCTTGAAACCGGTCAAATTTCTGGCCCTTGAAGCCATGCCTTCGAAACCAGCTCACGCATTTCGGCGCCGACTCACTCTAACACAACACTTCAAGGCAAACTGGAACACAGAAAAGAAAAACTCAAAGCCAACCAAAAGCGGACTGGCCAAGGCGGGAAACGCAAAGCGTTTACAATTCTGCAAGGGGACACACAAGAACCCCTAACCAAGGCACCAGAGCCTGCTCCTCACAAAAAACGCCCCCACAGGGTTGAAGCAATTGGTTGGACTCGTCTGGGCCATGGAGGATTTAGACCCAAGATCCCCTTTGCCAGTTAAAAAGGAACATGACAACAAAACAAGCCCGGAAAAAGGTAAGCCAAGTCTGCCAATGCACCGCATGAATCCACTGGCAAAAGCCAAGCCGTGTCTATGGCGCCTCAATAATTGTCCCGGGGCTCTACCACATCTGCGAAAAGAATCTGCGGAAAAAAAGAAGAAGACATATAATGATATATATATACACAGAAAAAAACCCAAGGCACAATGCCGCCGCCGGCCCAATCCGGATCTCGGCGCCGTCCGCTGTGATGCTGCGGATGAACGTGGCGCGCGCTCTCGTTGCGGAACGCCCGCTCATCGTGTGGGGCGTGGCCTGCAGGGCGATTCCAGGCAATCACTCCTCTCCCCTGCCAGAATTTGGATTTGAGAACCTCGGCTCGCCCCCCCACCCGCAAACAAATAAAGAAGAAGGAACACGATTTTTCATGGTCCATATTTGGTGCACCTTCAACTGGAGCATTTCAAGAAAAGACTCCCGAAAATGATGAGGCAACATGCGGGGCAAATGTTGGACAAACTCTCGCTTGGGTTCCCTTTCCGCTTGGGCCCCTTTAGCCTACCTGCTTGCACCTGCTTACCTGCTGGAAAACACACAGCCCCAAAGCCTTGGAAGCAAACATTGGAATGGACCACAGGTTCCACCAAGCATCCCATGAACAACCGCAAATTGGAAGCATCTCTTCTTTGAGGGAGCCACGGTACCGCGTACATTGGCTGTCTAAAGACTCGATTAGATGAGGATCCCTA